TGCAAAATGCTGAGGGTAGAGCTTGGTACCTGGCAGTTGTTCTGAGAAGAGCTTGGCGTGGTGTGGGACGGAGATCTGGAGATCCAGGAGACAAGTGGATTCTTCAAGCAAGCACGCCAGGGGAAATCAAACAGCACACAGACAGGTAACCAGGCTGAAAGCAACTCCCTATCCACCTGGTGGAACCAGGTATGGGGAACCCCTGGGAGGGGAAGTTCATGGATGCTGATGTAAACTGCAGAGCTCCCATAGGTGGGGGTGGGGAGCCACATACTGTAGTAGGCCCTGGGCTGGGAGAACATTGACCAGCCCACTGGTCCCCACCCATCACTATTTTGGCACATCCCCTACAAAATGCTTAAGTTTCTTTTCAAGCAGAAGGGCTTGAGCACCAACTGTGTGCTTTGCTCTGGGCCATTTACTAAGAGGCACCCAGAAAACAACCTGTCCAGTCCCCTCTACTTTGTTTCTTTGTTATAAGAATGACTAGAGGCCCGGTGCGCGAAATTCATCCATGGGTAGGGTCCCTAGGCCAGGCCGGCGATCAGGGCCGATCTGTGGGGTGACCTACAGGGTGATTGGGGAGGGGAGGGGTTCACTGGCATCCAGCTTGGCTGGCCTGGGGCCTGAGGGCTGGAGGCAGCTCCTGCATTGAGCGTCTGCCCCTGGGTGGTCAGTGCACGTCATAGTAACCAGTTGTTCCACCGGTCATTCTGCTGTTCGGTCGATTTGAATTTCAGCCTTTTATTATATAGGATGTCAGGGACTAAGGAAGTGTGATTCCATAGAAAGTACCAGAGAAACCTAATTTCAAATGCCAGGTGGGCCACTGATGAGCAACATGCCCTTGGACCTGTGGCTAGGACTGTTTAAAGGCCCATCTTTAACAAGGAGGCAGGAATATTTATCATCATAGGGTTATGTGAGCATAACTCAAAAATGTGGGAGGCAGGGTGAGTGTTCAATGTGTGCAATGTATTTATTATTCCAGCTTCCTTGCTGGGCTCTGAATGGACAGGCACTGGCTGGCTCACACCATCAGCCTCTCTCAAATGGGCACATGCCTGTCTGGAACTGGGCAGACAAAGGGAGAAAGTCCAAACCACACCAGCCTCTTCAGCCAGATGAGGAATTCTTCCCAACGCACAGGCCCTCAGACTGCTCTTATGAAGTCTTTAATGATGGTGCTCACGCCGGCAACAAGAAGAAGTTATCTGAAGGAGCAAATTAACTAGAAGTTGACTACTTCTTGATCCTCTTCCAAAAACAAAAGCACAACCCCAGGGAAGGCAGGAGACTCCTCTCTATTTTTACTTTCCTAGCGAAGCTGCCTGTTTTTGTTCGCATGTCTTGGTAATTGAGCACATACCTTTCAGACCCTCTCAGAATTCCAGAAACTTGAGGCTAAAATATCCATTCGTTTAAATTTTTTAGAGTTCCCATGGAGCTAGAGAAAAGGGGGTCATTATGAGTGAGCAAACGGACAGAATGGTGGAGGAAGAGAACAGTTGCTCCATTTTCTACCAAGAAAAAAATAAGAATACCAGCAAAACCTCATTAAGTCAGTATTGGTTTATTTAAAAGAGCTTATCATTTGCAGTAACTATTCCCCAATCAACCGGATGCCTCTATTGTAATCTTCTTTAATGTTGAAAGTCTGATAATTAAATATATTAATATATCAGGACAGACTTTATTTGAAGGCACATGGTGTTTTGTATGATATCTCTAAGTGTCCTGCAGAGCAATCAGTGCATAGTAGGTGTTCAATAACCCTGAGCTTCGTTCCCTGCATTTTGTATTATAAGAGCTTTAACCTGGGCTATAATGTATCTAGTCCTTATCAATAACAACGTATTTCCGTTTTAATATACTACCTTTTATTAAACTGGAGCCACAAACTCTTAATAGCAAGGCCTGTCCAAGGCCCTTTAATCACCACTGTTGTGCAGATGTCTCTCCTAGGAAAACACAGGCAATGCTCAGCAGCCAGGATGGGGACTGCCCATCCACCTTCATGTTGGCAGAATGAGTTACAGGATTGTATTATCAATGCAATTAGGCCAGGCTCCCTCTGCACTTCCACAGCAGACCTCTCGGCTCTGTACAATAAGAGGCACTTCCCTCTGTGACCTGGTTTCCAAAGCATTTTTTCCCCCTAAAGTGGTCACCACTGATGCCTGCATGGAAAAGCCAACTTCTGAGTTTGTGCTTGCTTGCCACTGTGAGTTTTTCCAACATGGTACCCAGGTCAAGGGCAAGCGGACACCTAGTGCTTTTGACATGGCAATTATGCCAATACTAATAAGCATGATGTTGGCACTGCTGATGACATGGATGATGTTGATGTTGCTGATGATGGCATGGGTGATGCTGACGGTGCCAGCTCAGTACTCCGCACCTACTGCGCTAGTCCCTGTGTGAGAGCTCTATGAGCATCTTCAGCATTTAATCCTCCCAACAACTCTGAGGAAGGAACTGTTAATACCCCCATTTTGTAGATGAAGAAACTGAGGCTTAGAGAGGAAGAGTGACTTGCTCAAGGCCCAGGAAATAAGTGGCCCAACCAGGACATGGACCCAGGTGTGCGACTTCTAATGCTTCAAGTTACACAATACTAACCTTGTGTCTTTGTCTGCTATGACAAAATACCACAGATTGGGTGGCTTAAACAACGGACATTTATGTCACATAGTTCCAGAGGCTGAGAAATCTAATATTAAGGCACAACCTACAGATTCAGTGTTTGGTGAGAGCTCTCGTCTTGGCCTGAAGAAGACTGCTTTTCCTCCGTTCATGGAGCGAGAGACAGAGAGACAGAGAGACAAAGAGATGGAGAGGGAGAAAGGGAGAAAGAGAGAGAGAGAGAGAAAGAGAGAGAGAGAGAGAGAGAGAGAGAGAGAGAGAGAGAGAGAGATCTGTTCCTCTCTTTTACAAGACATCACGAGAGACCCACTCTCATCATGGCATATAAATCTAATCACCTCCCAAAGGCCCTGCTTTCAAAGACTATCACACTGGGGGTGAGGGCTTCAATGTATGAATTTGGAGGCAAAGCATTCAATACATAACAACCCATTTCAAGCGATTCTGTCTCCCCTCTTGCCTGGTCGGAAATAGCACATCAGAACCCTTGTCCTCCTTCCCAGATGAGCTGTGTCAGAGGTCCCTCAGTCAGGATCTCAGGCAGTGTGGCCCAGACCCAGGTCTACCCGCCATCCTTCATTAGGCCTCCTGGGTGATGGATTAAATACCATTATCTTTAGGAATCAGAATTTCAACACATGAATTTGGGAAGCAGGGCACATTCATTCAGACCATAGTGTTGAGGGAAGGAAGCATCTTTCAGTGGTTATATCAACACCTCCCTCCTTTTCCTCTCCTTTTCTTGACCTGGTCTGACCTAGTCCCACACCCCCTCCAAATACATAAATAACATCCACAGCATGAGGAGTGGAAGAATCCAAGAGATGGACTTAAGGGTAGAAGTTGCAAACCGGCTCAGTAATAACTGCTAATGCTGAGACATGATAACCTACTGTGTACCTAGTACCATGTTGAATGCTTTAGTGAATGATATATTTTATTCCTCATTTTCTTCCACAATATCCTAGTAAGAAGGTACAGGTATTAACCCCAGTGTGCATAGAAGAAAACACATTTTAGAAAGACAAAGTCACTTCGCCAGTTGTTGAAAGTGATGATTCAGTTGAACTCTAAAGGGTGAGAAGGAACACAATAGCTAAAGCAGGAGGGGAAGAGGACTCCAGGCATAGCCAATAGCCTGTGCAAAGGACCTATGACAGGATGAGGAGGGGGAGGGTCGACAGGGTAGAAGGGGAGGTGAGAGTAGGTTGCAGATTGGCAAAGCCTTGCATGGTCTGATAAGGATTTTGGTTTTTATCCCAAGGGATATGGAAAGCCAGTGAAGGGATTAAGCAGAGAGTAGAGAACAGGGTGGTGGCAAGATCAGATTTCTATTTTAGAGAAATGACTCTAACTTGCCCCTGAAGAAGGGATTTCAAGAGAGGCAAGAGGGTGAGCAAGATGCCAGTTAGGAATCTTACTGACCACGCTGCTATAAACAGCACTAACTCACAGATTCAGAATTCCTCATACTGTTACCAAGTGTGCTGCCAGGAGACAAAGAAAGGCCAGACTGTGTGTGTGTGTGTGTGTGTGTGTGTGTGTGTGTGTGTGTGCGCGCGCGCGCTATCTTAGAGTCTTTTAAGTGACATAAGAACCCCAAAGGGAAAAGTCCAACATGGAAAAGCAAGCAGTGGTGCCCTTTGAAAAGTTTTTATTTTATTTTAACTTTGCTTAATCTACTTACATTCAAATTTTGAAATATGTATGCACGATAAAACACTGAAGTTATGGTCTATTGGGTTAAAAATCCACTTTTTGGAATGGGTTCAAGGAAAAATTTATACAAAAGACTTCCGAGTGGAAAGTAATTCTGCAGATGAAATAGAATGGAAGCATCCACTATATATACCCCTATATGCAAGATACTAGTACATGCAAGATGAGAAGGGGTCTCAAACCATCACCAATGGGAGGTGCAAAACAGCTGGCCTCTTAACCCCTCAGGGAACCAGCTGGAAGGGAAGCGCCTGGCTAGTCCTCAGCATCATCATTCATACTTTTCCAAGGATACAGCCTCTTCCTTTCATAATTCATTTGAAACCAATAAATTGACCCCCAACTGAAAACAGTGAAATTCCATTCTAGCATGCTACTTCAAAGCATGGGGTGACCTGGTGTTTATTTTGCAAAGTTCCAGACAAAGAAATATAAAAAAAAATACTGGAAAAAATCCATCGACAAGCATTTCTGTGCTTATTCTGTGTAATTATCCTTGTATGGAGAGGCATACAAAAAAGGAGGAAAATATGGTTCTTATTCTTAAGTATTTGGCAATCCTCTTAGAGGGTGCTTCTGGGCTCTGAGTGTGCATCAGAACCACCTGGGGAGCTAGACAGAAATGCAGATCCTTGGCACCCACACTCCCTCCCAACCGCTGGACCGAGTGTGTATTGGTGTCCACAGAGGCCCCGAGAATCTGTATTTTAAGCAGAGAGGCTTCTGATGGGGGCTGGGATTCTGAATCATCACAGGAAACATTAGCACAGAATCGGACAGAAGGAAGAAGTCCTAGTGCATATCCAGCAGCACCTCTACCCAAAGTGGCATTCTTTAGCCGGCCACCAAGACTGGTGTCAAGCATCAGCCTTTGCTTTACATTTTCACAAAGGGCACAGGTCCTTCGTGTGGAAGCTCATTCCACTGTAGGACCACCATTCACTGTCCTTTGAAGGGCCTTCAAAACACTGGAGCTTCCTGCATCTTCATCCTGTTTACCTCCCTTGATCTGAATGCTACATGTTTGTCAACACTGCCTAAGGGGCCACTCTTGCCAAAGCCCAAAATGTCTGAAATAGCCATATACTCGCCTTCATACCTTTTACCCATCCGGTAAAGTTTTTGAAAGTCAAATAGAGTTAGAAGAGTTGACAGTCATGTTCTTGCTTCATATCCCCGCTTTCTTTCCTAAAACTTCAGAAATTATCTATTTAATCATTTGTTCCAGACTTTTCATAGGGATTGGCATTATTTATTTTTTGTCCCTGTTAACCATTCTTCTTTCCCCAATCCCTACTCCACATTCATTCTTCTTCTTTCCTTTTATGAGTTCAGTTCTGGCTCTTTCTCTTATTTCTCTCTATTGATTTTAACCAAAATAATCAACAGAATACCTGAGGTTTCCTTGGTGACTTCTTTTTGGCATCGTGAGTGATTACTCAAAGACTTGTAAAATCACAGAACATCAGAATTTGGAGGAGTCTTGGGGACCAGCCAGGCAAACCCTTCACTATGAAGATGAATAAATTAGGGTGCAGAGAGGACAGAGGTGAAACTGAGATGCCCACGTTGGGGACTGAGGCAGCATTAGGACTCGGGTCTTCTTGCTGGATGATTACTTTTGGACAGCCTGCCTTGTTTGGGACTTGGAAACCTGGCTGTGTGGTCAAACAGATTCTAAGGTTCATCCTCTCTGGGAGGTATGGTGACAAATACATTAAGAAAGAGAGTGGCCTATGTGGCTCATAAATCATGTAGAGTAAAATGTTAAATGAGAGCCCTAACCGATTTGGCTCAGTGGATAGAGCGTCGGCCTGCAGACTGAAGGGTCCCAGGTTTGATTCCGGTCAAGGGCATGTAACCTTGGTTGCAGGCACATCCCCAGTAGGGGGTGTGCATAAGGCAGCTGATCAATGTTTCTCCCTCATCGATGTTTCTAACTCTCTATCCCTCTTCCTTCCTCGCTGTAAAAAATCAATAAAATATATTTTTAAAAAATGTTAAATGAGAGAGAAAACTCACCCACACTCCTAACTGCTTTAGTGTGAGTTTTATAAAGGAGAAAGCAGTGCCACTGAGAAATCAGGGCAGCATGCTGCCCTTTGCATATGTGTGTGGGATGGAGGAGGAGGGGGAGGAACACTAACAAAACACAAAAGGATATGAAAATGGACCTTACCCTGATAGCCATACACCAAAAGAACATGGGAGTCAACTGAAAGAGCCCCTGGTGGCCAAACCATTGGGAAATAAAGTAAAGTTGTATTGGATAATAACGCAAAGTAGAAAGTAAATATCCATGAGCCCACACGGATAGAAATAAATAAGTGGGGGAGGAGAGACAAATCCCCCATGCAGAAAAATTCCTAAGAGTTCATGTAGACAGACACTCTGCTTACAAGGGTTGAGAGCATAAGTCCTCTTAAGTGGGGGCTGCACACGGGAACTTTCCTCCAAAAAGAACAGCATGGAATGTATGGGAAAAGAGTAACTACAGTGGAGAAAGCTGATAAGCACTACCCCAGCCAGTGAAAAAGGTCAATTTCACAGTAATATGTCATGTTGATAACATTGTCCTTGATAGGATTTGATGAAAAGAGCATTTCACCTATATGTCTTCTTCCCCAAAACCCACAACCCCAGTCTAATCATGAAAACAAACCAGACACATTTCCTTACTGGGGTATCCTATATAATAAAAGCCTAATATGCAAATTGTCCCCTCAGGCAGTTGGTCAACCAGGAGTTCCACTGAGAGACCCAGCGTTCAACAGCTCGCTATGATTTGCGCTGACCACCAGGGGGGCGGTGCAGAACATGGTGGGCGTTGGTGAAAAGGTGCTGACAGCAGGCAGCAGTGGAGGCGCTGCCAGCAGCAATGGGCCCTGACAAAGGACGTGGTGGATGGTGGAGATGAGTGGGCAGCACCAGGCCAAGGCGGGGTGCCAGGAAGGCTGCAGGGCTGCGAGGCTGGGGGCATGAGCTGGGGCTGTGAGCCTGGGACCAGGAGCTGGGGTCAAATCCCCAATGGACACCCCAAGGGACCCCACCCATACATGAATTCGTGAGCCAGGCCTCTAATCTTACATAATCCCCAACCAGTCCTCCTCAAACGTATCAAAAACAAGGAGTCTGAGCAATGGTCATAGCTCAGAGAAGTCTAAGGAGACATGTAACTAAACACAGCGTGGGATCCTGGATGGGATCCTGGAACAGAAAAAGATCTTTAGGTAAAAACTAGGAAATCTGTATAAGCTATAGACTTTAGTTAATAATAATATATTAATATTGTTTCTGTAATTGTAATAAATGTACCAAATACTGTAATATGTTAATAACAGGGGAAACTGGGTGTAGGTATATGGGAACTGTGTACCATTGTCTCAATTTGATTGTCAACCTAAAAACAAACAAACAACAAAAAAAAACATAAATTCTGTTTCAAAAAATAAATATACATGCTCAATAAATAAAGTAAAAGAATAGCATGTAGAAAAGCACATGCCATTCTAGAGGTGGACTGGGGATTCTGTGACTAGGGACCGTGAGGGTCCCAGTTACCCTTGAAGAGGGCATACAAGTCCTAGGTGCATCAGCCCCAGTGGATGAGCAAACCATGGGGTCCAGAGAGGGATCGTGGTCACCCCAGAATAACGGTCGAATTGAAGCTGACCTCATGAAGCTCACTTGTCAGGAAATGATTTTTTATGTTCTCTAGCGATGCTTAGTAACTTAGAAGTGGGAGCCAGGTCTTATACCTGTTGGGATCTAAGACGTGCAAGTAGCAACAAATCAAAGGAGGTATGGGGTATCAGCAAGAACACCTTCCAAAGACTCGTGTTCTAGCGATACACACAGAACTCTGGACTGGCCAGGCCGCTAGCCAGGCTTTGCAAGAGGTCATGGTGTTCTCACATTTTAGGTTCAATGGAAAATGTCCTAGAGGTGAATGCCACCTTTCATAACCATGTCAGCATTTAAAACTGTGTTCAAAAGATCCTGTTCCTTTAGGCAAACAAATTCAAGCCAGAAATTGTATGGGGAATGATACTTTCTTGTTCACCATTGTGCCATTCTGCAATAAATAATTTCCAGTCAGGGTACTAGAGAATTCCAAATGATAGACATATTATGTTCATGAAAGACAACTTTAAGAAAAATCTTTCTGCAATAAAAGTGAGGGCTCCACCCCCCTTCTTGGCATCCCAGCTTGCTATAGAAATGAGTGATTTTCTGAATTTCTGCCAAGTTAGATGGTTCAGCATGCTATTAGATTAGTCTGTTTATACAGAAACAGCCAAAAATAGGAAACACACAGAAGCTATTAAAGATATTGTCCTGAGAGGGAAAGATTTGAATGGTTTTCTTACTGCAAGTGGGAAATAAGATATGAGTCAGTATTAATGTGATAAAGAAGTTAATGCGTTCTAAAGCAAACCCTTGGTTTCTTCATCTTGTTTCAGAGGTGACAATAAAAGGCACATGCAGACAATTATTTAGGGTTGGGTGAGCATGGAAGGTAGTGAACACTTTAGATATAACTCCCCTTCAGAAAATAGGGCTGTGGCACAAAGGCGGTTTTCAAAGGGAAAGACGGTTCCAGGCAAAAAGAAAATAAAAAAGAAAATAAAAACAACAACCACCCCCACCCCCACAAAAACAAAATTCCAGATTCCAAGATTAAGTTTATTTTTAAAAAGGTTTCAGAAATTCAAAAGTGAAATTCCAATTTCACTTCTGCCCTTGGGTTGCTCTGTGATCGAATGGAAATCATATGACCTCTCAGGTCAATGCGATTCAAGACGGAGGACTTATATTGACTTCTACTTGTAAGACGATGTGGTTCTTACTCTCCTCATTTATAAGTGGACGGCAAGACCTGTACCATGAAGTCACCTCGTTTTTCCCTCCATGAGTCACAAGGTGACGTCTGGAGGAAAGATAGTGCCGCATTGTGGTACGTGAGCTGTTCCTGACGTCTCAGAATATGTGTGTGACTCTGGAAGTGGACGTGTGTCTAAATATCCATATGAAGCCCAGGATTATATATTATTTTCCTCTTTATTCGTAGCTGAAAGTCACAAAAAATAGGATTTTCTACAAAATAAATATCTCTAATGGTGTAATAATCTTACTAGGCTGTCCTCCGGGTTCTGGTGAGTAACTCAGAACTCGCTGAGCAAAGAATATTAAAGAATGCATTCATTTTAAATTGCTGTGTAACAAATTATCACAAACTTAGCCTCTGAAAACAACACCGTTATTATGTTATGGTTTCCTTGGGTCAGAAGTGTGGGCATGGCTTAGCTGGGTTCTCAGCCAGGCTGACATCCAGATAACAGTTGGGCTGTGGTATCACCAGAGGCTTAGCTGGGATATTCAATCATCTTTAACTCCTTCAGGTTGTTGGCAGAATGTATTTCCTTGAGGTTGTAGGACTGACACCCCATTTCCTTGCTGCCACGCTCAGCTCCTACATGCCTTCTGTAGTAGTGTCATGTGGCCCTCTCACAATACGGCAGCTTACTTCTCTAATGCCACCAATGGGGAATATCTCCGACCTCGGTGCCTCTTCAAGGGTTTTTTACGTAAGTCAGGCCCACCCAAAATGATCTCCCTTCTGATTAACTTAAAATCAACTGAATTGGGACCTTAATTATATCTGCAAGATCTCTTTACTTTGTCACATAATGTAGCCTAATCGAGGAGGTGACATCCCATCATCTTTTTCATCTTCTGTTGGTGAGAAGCAAGTCACAGGTCTGCCCACATTTAATGGGAGGAGGGATCATACCAGGGTGTGGACGCAAGAAGGTGGGAGTCATTGGGCCCACCTTAGGATCCATCTGCCAATCAGCGGAAGAAAATACAGGGGTTCATGTCTCACGAAAATGTCATCACAGTATGGACAGAATTACTTCATTTATGTCTGAGCTTAGAATCTAGGTGCAGGTGCAAAGGAGGGTGGAGAGAGAAAAAAGAAAGAGCCCCATAGTTTTTCCAAATAATCAGAGTTTTTCAAGGTTTTCCTAGAAGCACCTGTTGCCAGATATTATGTAATAAAATGCAGGAACGCTTAAAATGTACAGTTACACTTCAGTAGCTGACAACTGGGCAACCCAATACCTCCTTCAACTGGTGCAACAATGAACATGGACATGGGGAGCATGGAAGTATCAAGAAAAGGCAAGGCA